ATTATCATTATTATTATTATTTTTTTTTTTTTTGCTTAATAACAACTACTGAGCACTTTTTTAGTTAATTTTCTAAGCGTTAAAAATTTGTACCAAAATTGGCAATTATTTCTAAGATATTATACATATTTTTCTTTAATTACTCTAGGTAAAAAAATTGAGATTATTCGTACTTAAAAAAAGTTTTATTGTACATGAAGAAAAAATGTATTTATTTTATTTAAATTTAAAAATAAAAATAAATTGTTCAGTTAAATTAGAATTTATAATTTTCTTCATTTATTCCTTTTTTTTTTTTATGACTTTGTTTTATAATTTTTATTTTTAACTAAAAAATTTCACAAATATCTTTAAGATGAATGACTTCAATATAAATTGACTTTATTATGTTATATCCGTAGACAGGAGATCAACTGTTATAAATAAGTTCACAAATTGATAATGATACAATAGAGAAGATAGATAGAGGAAAACTCGGTACAATATAAATGCATGTCTATTAGATAACAGTTCGCTGTGCAGAGTGCACTGAGATTTCCATACAAATTTATCAAAAAGCCCGTAAGTATTATTATTTTTTTAATTATTTATAGAATGAATGTAATCGAATAATTTAATGATTTATTATTCGAAAAATTTTATGAGGGACTTTGTTTATCTAAATATGATATTAAATTATTGAATATTGCTTCATTGTTAAGACAGGACAGTTTGTTTGATACTAATTTATACAGCATAATTATACGTGAGAATTAAGTGCGATTTGCTGGATGATAAATGACTTGCGTCACTCTTTATCAAGGCATAAAATACCTTTTGTAATTATTACTACTTTTGTTCGAGTTAAATTGTTATTTTGTAATAACAAAAGACGCTATTCATTGTTTTAGTAGTAGAAATAATTTAAGTGATAAAGTTTTGTTACAAGAGTTTATTTTTTTATAAAAAATTTCATAATGGGTAATTATTTTAATGATTCAAAAATTTATAGTTTTAGATAGAAAACTTGCAGATATTTATAAAAAATTAATTTTTTCTAAATCTGAAAAAACATTTTTTTAACAAAAAAGTTACTTTAAAAAATTTTTTATTTTTTTTAACTATTGAAATTTCCAAATTAATTTTTTGTTACAAAAATGCAAATTTTTTTTTTTAAAGAAATTAATGCTAATTTTTTTTCTTAATGTAAACTCATATTTTATTATTTAAAATTATTATTTATACTAAAAATAATTAAAATTTAATTGTGTTTAATTATGTCTGTTTTTAATCTAATTCTTTTAATATAATTATTTTTTTCTACGTAGTTGATTTTATCAGATAGTTTATTAGCAATTATCAAATGCTTATGTATAATTTTCTAACCCATTGTACGAATAATTATGTATTCTTGAACAATTAATAAATTATTATTATTATTTATACTAAAAAAAAAAAAAAAAAAAAAAAAAAAAAAAAA